ACACACACACACATATATATATATATATATATATATATATATATATATATACATATATTTATTATATATATATATATATATATAGATTGCAGGTTCCTTCTTTCGATTCACACAGACATGTGTGTTGAAGATCACTTTCTGTGCACGGTAGTAGCCATTGTACTGGTTTTGAGTTCGTTACTACACATACGCCAAGTCGAGTAGCTCTGCGAACGGTCTGAAGTCGAATACATATGACAACACGAAGTAAATACGCTTTCTTGACACTTTTAATAAACACTAAAATACAACATTATCATGCATTAAAGTACTATTTGACCATATTACATATTATTATACATTAAAACATCATCATACATCATCATTGCTCCTGTACAGGTGTGGATGCGTCCGTGCACGAAAACGAGACGGGAGTGCAGTACTACAATCGCCTGCACAGAGAATCACGCATACAGTACGCAAACGAGCTGACTGTAACTTGGGCCGACGATCCGTAAGTATGAGGCAATCGGTGCTACGTAAGGGTTCATGTAATAGCGCAAGTATGAGTGTATGCACAGTAGCACACACATCATGTGTTGGTGTAAACACTGCTACGTATGAGTTAATGTAATAGCGCAAGTATGAGTGTATGCACAGATGCACATACAACATGCATTGGTGTACACACACACGTTGCTTCTTAACCTGTGCGTGCTATCTTCCAAGCGTATGTCATCGCAAATAGACTTATGTTCCCGTTTCCCATTCGAAATAAGGTTTATGACAGAACCAATCCACCTACCAACCTACCTACCAAGTTTCTGCCATCACACAAAGACTAACTTTCTCACTCCCCATGCACCATCCTCAGTGTATGAGCATATCTACACACCTACTACAACACATCTCTCGCATCTCACAGGCGCTATTACGAATGGGCGACTGTGAGGGACAGCGTGACCCCACATGTGCTTCGCCTGCGGAACGTGTGCTGGCTGAACGTATGTGCCTGGTGCTGGTGGAGGCTGTGTATATGTATATTTTTATATATGGATGTACTGCCATTGTATAATCTATGTATATGTATATGTCATTCACATGTATGTACTACCATTGTACAATCTAAGTATATGTACATGCCATTAACATGTATGTACCACCATTATATCTAAATTGTAATCGATATCAAGCTGGGAATGTTCTAGCAGGGAGCTTGCATATGCAGTTGTCACTTGCATGCACATACTACCAGTGCACACGTGGCATACTCAACTGATCGTATCGGATTAATGTTGATTAATGTTACTTAGTAAATACCTCCTAACTTCAAATGCAATATAGTCTTTGTATTTGTTTTTTTTGCACGTGTATTGTACAACTTTTCGTGTCTATATATATATATATATATATATATATATATATATATATATGTGTGTGTGTGTGTGTGTGTGTGTGTGTGTGTGTGTGTTGTNTATATATATATA